AATTCTCACTGGTGAGTGGGGATTGAGTGGAGTGAGAGGGTGTAAGTAGGAAAGAGCGTGTGGAATGACGATTGGTTAATTAATGTGGGCGCTGGTGACAACAGCTGGAACAGCTTCTAGGAGACACAGGCTCCTTGCAGTGCTAATGTCGGCCACCTGTGATGTTTCATGTCCTCTTACAATACCAAGTGAAGCTGTGGGGACCAACATGTAGAATGTGGGAGACAGAGGAGTGCACATTGTTTCATGAATGTTTCAACCTTGGCTGATTCTATCATTTTGTTGAACCTCAACATGACAAGACAACATTTTTTCCAGCCCCAGCAATGTTTTGGGACAGAATGTAACTGCATTTCAAGGTCAATCTGGAAAAGTGCATTAGACTACCAGAAGGTCTTTTCTTTCATTTTTTGCTTGTTATGTTTTTGCTTCTTCCTTTTAGAGGAAGACCCAAAGCCAAAGAACAAGTCTTCACAAAGCCCTGACGCACAAGCGTCACATTACATGGTTGTCCAAGGAAACTGGATTTTCTGGGAGGCATGCAAACGTCTAAGGAAAAGTGAATGGAACCTATTCAATGGTCAGACTGACTTACCATTTCAGAGCTGCCAGAAAGACTGACCAATGAGATCCACCAGAATTACACAGGTATGTTAAGTACTGTATGCTGTTCAACATGTGATCACAGCTGACACCAAACTGAAGAGCTGAGATTTTAGGACAGTTCCCATGTCCTGTTGTTGCCTTTATAGTTGCAAAATACCAGAGCTGTTAGGAAGTGAAGCTTAGGAATAGAACTATGTGGGAAAGAATTCACTTCAGGAAGAGGTCCTGAGGTTAATATCCACCCCTGAGTTAATAACCACAAGAAATACACCAGAAACACTAATTTGGAGAGAAAGAACAACAAATCTCACAGGCAGGCTAAATATGGCAATCTTTAGAAAACAGATTCACACAAATTAACCAAACGGAACACAAGGCTGTGATAGCCTTCAAGAATTCAAGTTTGGATTTTCTTTTGCTTGATTTGGGAAACCAGCTTCTTAAAACATTTGGCAGCCAAACGGTCCCAGAAAACATTTTTGAGATCCGGGACCAATGGAAGTCTCAACTCTCCCCCATTTCTTGAACTAATTGATTTTTTTAACTGCTTTAACTGCAAAGTGTGGGGATCTCTTCATGTGGGTACTTTTTACAGGGCCCCTAGTGACACATTTATGACTCACAAAATTACAAACTCTCCTCAACAGGATTAAGAAATATGTATGAAGTCTTATGTGATCTGGCCTATTCTTTATTTAATACATTTTACATAAAATTGTCAGGATTGTAATTGGGACCTCCCAGTGATTGCTACCTTTGTGCTCCACAGGCTGACTAACCAACATACGATTCCTGTTCAAACCTGCCTAGCCAGCTCCAGCTGCTTTCCTGAGCTCAGACCTCCACTCGCCCCTCATCGCTTAACCTCCTGCCAGGGCACCACAAGAACCCACAATAAAAACTAAAAGGTCACAGAATACATATCTATTAACTATCTATTAATTCTAATTTTCAGCTTGCAGTTCTATCTTCAATTTATGCTGATGTTTGTCGCATCAATTTATGTTAATATCAGCCATTCTTACATAATGGGCTTCAATTGTTTCCAATTAAAAACATTGTCTGATACAGCCTCTGCGCACTCTATATATAGCTTTTAACAGTGCCCTGCACGGCTTGATTCTACCAATAAAATACCCAATAATCTGTTTGATGATAAAGGCATAAAACATGCTCAATGTTTAGTGGAGTGCAAGAAGCAAAACATAAAAAGTGGAGAGTGATATACAATTGCTTGTTCCTTCCCCAATGGAAAATTCATTCATTCTTATGATTGTTCAGTGGTTGAAATAACTGGGTTTACAAGCCAAGTAAATTGGGGAGAAAGGTGCATTCAATTTAATATCACACAGGCACAATTTATGGCCCCCTTTGCTTATTCTTTATAGCTATAAAACTCCCTTGTACTTCCAGTTAAGTAACACTTTAAAGTGTAACATTAAACTCACCAGCAATAAGCTTTTTAGTCTTCTGCCACAGCAATTAGCTAAATAATTGTATTTGCAAGAGACATTAAATTAACAATTAGAAAACAATCTGCTCCAGTTTCTCAGGAGCAGAAGTCCTAGAATAGTGCAGCCTACTGGGTAAGAAACTCTGGGCTTTTTGTAGCTCATAGCAACATCCTATTGCATGTCTCACACGGATAGGAAGGAAAAACACACCGTGGTAAAACTGGGAGGCACTGTGGCAAGACATTCAGCACTGCTGCCTAACAGCTGTTGGCCTGGGGTTCCATTGCAGCCTGGGATGCCTTCTGTGTGGAGCTTGCACGTTCTCCCTGTTAGTAGGGAGTCTTCCCAAGCGCTTCAGCTCCCTCCTCATTGGTGAGGTTAACTGTCCGGCGTGTGTGAGTGAGTGAGTGGGGTGCGGGTGCCCCGAGACAGACAGGGGTCTGGGCCAGGGTGTCCCCCCTCCTGGGATGTTTCTGTGGCCCCCGCCAGGAAGCAGCACTTTCTGTTAATGGATGTAGGAATAGATCCTAACAATAGAGCATTTGATTTTTATCCTGCATAAATACTTAGATTATGTTTTATTGTTCCACACTAGCTTTGAGGTCACATATCTAACTTTGTTTTATATCTACATAATTATATACAAAGCACAGACCACAACAATGAATTCCTGTGAAATTCTAGCCTGCCAGCAGTTCAGCAGCTGCACATCAGAGTCAAACGCTTGTCTTTTTTCTGAACTCCTTGCAGGCAGGTTATATCACGGGGTATGTCACTTCCAAGGTGTGTGATTTATGAATGACTTCATCTTAGCTCTAGGGTAGAAAAAAATAAATTAAAATAAAATCATGGATTAAAAAATAAAATACATATATTTCTCTCCCGTGGCTAGAGAAGCAGGCAGTGAGTTATCCTACTCCGCACAAGACAGAGCACTCACATATATGGAGCTGAACTGTATTATAAAAATAGCCAGCCAGGACTCAGTAGTTAGTGGAGCTGAAGTTTGCATAGCAGTGGAAAGGCCAGAGGTGAATATGCATCTTACATTGCATATTCAGGCCTTTCACGAGCGGATCTCAGGAAAATGCAGAGCCCTCACAGGACGAGTCCGTATCTTTCTCACACACTCACAGTGAGGCTGAGTATAAATCACCAGCTCAAATCTATGACCTGAGGGAGTTACGGTTGTGGCAACAGTGTTACATGTTACTGGAAGTGAGCACAAAATCTAGCAGCAGCAGTTTGCACACAGAGCCCTCTTATGATCGCTCACATTCTGAAGAGAGGTGATAAGGTGTAGGACTGTGTCATAAAATAGCACTGCTGCTCCCACATACTGTATACAGGGCCTTCATCACATGTACAAGGCCCCTGTGATGCCCCAATAATTATGTTAAATTACTGTGATGTACACACATTGTTCTAACCTGTTATTTTTTATCACAAGAAACTTAAAATAGGAGGATTGCATAAGTATTCACACCTTTTACTATGGGAAACCTTAATTAATTCAGGTGAACACGATTTGAGAGGCCTCTGTCTGTCTACAATAATGTTATAATAACAGTTTATATGATTTAAGAATATACACAGTACAATTGTCTCTATAAGATCCCTCACTCTCTGAGAGAATTTCACCATGATGACCAAGCAGCTTTCAAAACAATTAAATGATAAAATTGTAGAAAAGCACAGATCTGGGTATGTGTAGAATTAATCTCATAGACTTGAATATCCCTGGAGTACAGAGAAGGCAAGCATCAAGAGGTGGAGGGCCGTTTGTATCGCAAAGATGCTGCCTAGATCAGGCTGTCCCTCAAAGATGAGCATTGGGGGAAACAGGAGACTGGCTCGGAATGCCATCATGAAGCCAACAATGTCATTGAAAGAGCTACGGACTTCAGTAACTGCGATGGGAGAGTTTAGGAGCCGACAATATCCCAGTAACACCATAAAGCTAGCCAGTATGGCAGGGTGGTGAGAAGAATGCCATTACTGAAAATAATCAGAAATCCCACATATAAGGGATACTACAAACTCGTGGAAAGGGATTTTGTGGTCAGACTAGATAAAATTGGAACTTGTGTAAAGCGCTGTCTGACACAATACAATCCATACTGTCAGGCACAGTGGTGGCATCACTATGTTATGGGGCTGGGTTTCACTGCGGGTCCTGGGAGGCTGAGGGGAAAATGGATGGATCAAACGACAAACAACTAACTAACTTATAGAAGACCTGGTTCAGCTTCAAAAACTGGAATAAACATTTTAATTTCAGAAGGACACTGTCAGAAGGCATAGTGCCAAAACTACACTGGAGTGTCTTAATAAGACTCGAATCCAACAGAAAATCTTTGGCAGGATTTGAAAACTGCTGTCCAGCAATGACCCCAAACCAACTAGACAGAGCTTCAGCCAATATTTACAAGTACTGAATACTTATGCACCCATCAAATTTTAGGTTTGGAGTTTTCTTTGCTGACATTTAACATCTTTCCCTGTAAAACTGTTTAGTTTGAGAGTTTAAGCTTTATTAAAAATATCCCCTTTAAAGACCTGTATCCATCATTTGTAATTCAATTAAATGAAACATCATACTTTTGCAAGGCTCTGTACCCTGGACTCTTTTTTTTACACCAACACTTGCGTCTGCGGATGAACCAAACTGCTGGAGTTATGAGAAAACTATTACAACAGGTTAAAAAGTCTTAAAGACAAGGGAAAGAAATGTTTCACAAAACAAAGTGTAAATGAAGAGTCCAGGAGTAAACCATGGCTGGAATTTCCCCAGGCTGTTGACCATTCTCTTAGACAAGCAGAGAGCTGCCCTGAATCTGCTCCCTTCCTGGCGGGAGAACCGCAAGGGGAACAGAGCCGAATCAATGGGTCCGGTGCGCTGCTGCTGCCCTCGGCTCGGCCCGGCCCGGCCCGGCTCACCTGTGGGGGTACTGCTGCGGAAGGAGGAGGAGGGGGTGATGGGGGGCGTGACGGGAGGGGTCAGGCTGCCGCTGCTGTGCCGGGGGGGAGTGGACACGCTTCCACGGGACACGCCACTGGAGAGAGTCAGAGCCAGCTTGGGCTGAATCTTCTTCTTGAGGGATTCCTGCTCCCGGCGTGCAGCATCGGTCATGAACCTGCAGGACAACAAACACCGAGATCCTCAAGCCATGGACACTACTCGCTTCATTTCTTCACTTCCTGAAGTTTTCTTTCAAAGGCCAAATCTGCCAAATTAATTTCCTTACAAAAAACTGCACTATTTGTGCAGTTGTACGATGATGCTATATTATATTTTCTTTATGCAAAACAGTTTTGAAAAAAGATTTCATGATTACAGGCCAATCTTCTGTTTTCCGTATTGCTTCTCAATTATAAACTGAAATATGCTAAATTAAAACTGAGAGCCTATTTACTGTTCCGTTTTAGAGTCCAGTGCATTATATCCTGCCTTCCCAAATAGTATCCCAAAGTACTTGGACGGAAGATTTCAGAAAATAGCTAATTCTCCACTTCCCTCTAAACTAATGTAAAGAAAAAAACAAACTTTGATCCTAACAAAAATGCATCCAAATAAATAAGAGGGACAAGCTCTGCCTAGTTCAGTTGGGGAGTTGCGTCAGCAGGTGTAGGCTGCAAAGGAACAAGTAATGGGTTTATTCCCTGCTGAAAGAGAAGAAAGAAAACACAACATTTTGGCCGTGGAGCCTTCTTCAGGTGTCTTCTCTTTTCAGCAATTGAAATACATACCAGTTTTTTTCCCTTTAGAACCGTCTGAAGTCCCAACACCTGATAGGGTCAACAAAGAATAACCCAGTGATGGAGATGAAAATGGGCTGTAGATCTAGAACTCCCTTTCCCCTGCTCTGGCCCTTCCTGAACCCATCAATATAGACATGTTTAAGACGTATCTACAGACAAAAAAAACTCATCACTTCTCAAAAGTTTTAATAAAAAAACCCCTTCAAATTCAAAAAGTCAAGTCAAATTAACTAAATCAACTCATCAGAATCAACAGCAAAACATGACCTAGAGGACACAAGTGAAAAATAAGCAGACATAATTTTAAAACTGTGAACAGGAGGCACATCTACACAACAGGAGGAACAGCTGGATGAGACCCTCCAGTCAATTAGCTCCTAAAATCCAGACAGGTTAGATGGGACAAACGGCCTAATCATGTTTGAAACCTTTGTTCATATGAGCCAACAAGAATGTTGCAAATCTGAATTACCTGCCTACGTTTATTGGATTAATCTACCCTATTTAAGATTAAACAGATTTATGCCTTTCCCCTAAGTACCTGCACTAAGTGTTTAACAATAAACAATGGAGAGCCTAAGATTATACTGAACTGTGTATAATATTTCTGCCCTCTAGCAACTTAAGAGACCTGCTTCTGTTCTGTTGACTTGCATACTTGTGGACTTGCCTTGCACTGGGTCTTCGATAGCAATGCAACAAATAGCAAGACCCCCAAAAACTTCTTTCTATACATCTGGAACATCCCACGAAAGAAGTACAGACCCTTAGGTTATTAGTGTGGGGCTGATTTACACACATTAGGTCAATCTATTCATTGGTTTCTTTATAAAATCTAACATTCATTTCATAGTATGGCGAAGCACCGCCTATACTGTCATCTGGAATGTTTGAAGTCTGGCTTACCACAGAGAATTGAAAAGAGACAGATGTTGGAATAAAGCATTAGACAAGACATGACATAATTAACAGTTTTCTTTGGAAACAGACAATCTAATAACAATTTTGGGCTGCTGTTTCCTTTTTGGTTGTTCAGAAGATCCCATTTAAATGTCAGTGTGGCAAAGAAATGTAGTACAGTGCCTCACGCTGTGTGCCCACAACAATACATACAAATCAGACTACACCCTTTAAAACAGCGGTCAGCACTATACAAAGTGCTCGGTATCAGATGCAATACAGATCAAAATAGAACAGCTCCCTGATTCATTGGTTGTCCTGGCTACTTACAAGGAAATATTTCTATAATGGCTGCTCTCCTTGGAGAAGTTATGTCTCTTAATGTAGACTTTAAGATAAATACTGCTTATAAGCACTGTGGCACAAAAGGATAAATTCTCGGGTGATGAGGAACAACTTTACTGGTAGGAGAATAAACACCTTTCTAGTATTTCACATTGCAAAGAGATATTGACTCTAGAATGATGACCAGATAATAATCTCTAATCAGAAGTCTCTAAAGAAAAATAGATCATACAGTACACATTACAGTACTCTTTTGTGAATTAAAATGTTACTGTATATTCAGCTATGATGAAACACAGTTGCCAGTTGCCACACTCAAACAAGATGAGAAAATGCAAGTTTTTAGACGTGCATTACATGATACTGTGTTACAAAGACAGACAGATCATCTTTTAACAACATTCTAACAAGCAACAATAGTTATGGATACTCACAAAACACAGAATATGGTGTATTTAGATTTTAGAAGGCTTCATAAAAGATTAAAGTGTCAAATTATAGGCCTTCAGAGAAAGATGATGTTTAGATTGGGATTTGGTTATTAGGTAGAAAACAGAAAGTACAGATAAGCTGTACAATAAGGGCTCAGACTAGAATAGGAGAATTAGAAACCACTTGCAAAAAATGAAACAGAAAAAGATTAAGATAAAAATTAGACTGGGAAAACACCTTGTAGAAGATGTTCAATATATAAAAGTACAGAATTTTGCATGCAGGAAACACAAAGATAAACTATAAATACAAAATGGACAATATGTGGATCAAACTATAAAGGCAAATAACAGTTAAAAACACAGAATGTAAATAAAGAGATGTTACATTATATTTGTATAAAGCATTACTAAGGTCTCATTTACAATATTGTATTCAGTTTTGGTCAACACAGAAGGCTTTCCTCAGAATGAACAGTGAAGCATGAACCGGCGGACGCAAGTGTGAACCATGAGGAAGTGCTTTTAAACCCTAAAACCTTCCAACTGAGAGAAGCCTTCCAGCCCCTCTAGTCCCGTGGGATAGTAGCTAACTGATCCAGGGATCACGCAGCCATTTCATGAAAGAAGTCAGGATATCAGCTTCAAAAACATTTACCTCAAGGGTGGTGAGAGTGTGGAACAAGCTCCTCAGCCATGTTACTGAAGCTGCTACCCTGGCTGGATGATACTTGAATCGACCTGCTAGCTACTAACTACCAAACGGGCCAGATGGGCCAACTGAATTCTACATAATCACCGCTTGTGTGGATTAAAAACATCCCACGCCTAATTATCAGCAATTATCAGCTCATTCATATCAACATCGGACTCAAAGAATCTACACTTACAGACAGAAATTAAGACACTTGAGCTTTTATTTTCTTTAGCATTAAATAACACTAAGATTGGAAGGAGCACAGAAAGTATGCTGTCCTCAGGGTTGTTCAGGGAACACTAGCACAGCCCTTTTGTATGCTGGACTACAATAAAGTTTTATGGTCACAAGTGCTGTAGTTGTTTTTTTAAAAAGCTTACAAAAATCCAAAAAACAACAGGAGGTTTGCTGCAGTCAAATAAAACAAGCTTCTTACTTGTGGTACTTTCTTAAAAGCAAGATTTGTTATACTATAACCACATAAGTACTACAGTTTAAAACTTGAAAGTCTATGAAACATCCATCCTTGGGTATGAAATCAACCAGCTCAACTTCTCTGTAGTACATGGTCAACATACCCATCATGTAACATCATTGATTACATTTATACTCAACAGCTAAGTGATACTCTCATTAAGGACACCGCAGGAAAGCAGGGCCCACCAATTAGTCAGTGTACAGTAAGGCAATTGTCCTGTTGAACATAAAGTGAAACCCTGCTATGATGAAAACAGATTGGCATCTGCAAGAAGCAGAGTACTTTGCCTGCAAGGCAGAGTGCAGCAGGAAGTTCCTTTCTCAGTGTTTGATCCGTTTTAGTGCTGTTACAGCACAGTTTTTTATTAAAAACCGAAAGCACATGGCTGAGCTGAATAATGTGTAGATCAATGTCAGAAATGAATGTAACAAAAAGTTTATTTTCATTCAGTGTAGTTACTAATTTTTGTGTCTGTTAACACATATTTAGCCCTTTAAACATTTATGTATATTTTAAATAGAAAAATCACTGATAAGAAATCACTGTTAAACCACAGGAAGACCACTGTGGCTAAAAAACATTTACTGCTTTGCTTGGATGAAAACTATTCATCCTGCGGAGGGATGGTGCATCTCCCAATGGGTAGATATTATGATAAGTAAGCATGCAATGATTCCAGTAGTCCCTGAATGATGCAATGCCCTGAAAAATACAGCTGCCCAGCCTTTGCAGGTTTATGTAAGACAGCATTGCAGGGAACAATAACAGCTTCCCTTCCCCCACACACAGGCCAGCCTCTCTGCCTCACCAATTACAAAACATGGTGCAACACTGCCCTCTGCAGGCCTGTTGGACGCACTGCACACTCTTTACCCACCGACTTTAGGAGGAAAAGGTAAAAAAACATCTGACTAGAATAATCTGAATTTTTTCTAGTCACTGTTCAAAAACATAAGGTCATTCTTGTAAACGCCAAAGAATTCCTCACAACAGGATGAGTTTAAGTGTAGTTCTCCACATCAATACTCATGCACGCAGTATGTTCTCATTATTAATTGGCCTACAGCTCTTCCATCCTCCTCCTGGCTGCAGTTCATTAACTGTGTCCCCTTCAGCACCCCTGGTGTGAGCAGCTTTCAGAGCTCTGTCAGTCAGAGCATGAGAACGCAGGGTTGTGTCAGCAGGCAGCTGGCTGCACTGCTGCAGTGTCAGCTGTCTGCATTCTCTCCGCTGTTTTCTTCAAATAATGGCACAGCTCATAACTGCAGTGCCATCATACAGGGGCATAGTCAACAGAAATTAAATGATGGTCTGAGGCCAGATACCTCTAATCATGTTATTCAAGCTGTATTCACCTTCAGCTCAAGTGCACATGCACAACTGATTCTGAGCACAGACTGGCAGAGATGCACAGAATGGCCTCCATTATTCTCCCTGGATAGCAACTGCCAATTGCATCTATTACAGTATGTTATTTGGCAATGTCGGATGTTGGTGTTTGTAAAGGTCCAATGAGGATACTAA